ATAAAATAAAATAGAACTATTTCTGTTCTAACATAGACTATGTTTACTCTTTTAGTAACTTTCTGAATTTTTTCACATACTGGAACTTCCCATATGGTAATTTACATATGGTTAAAGAAAATAAAAATTACTCTAAGGAAGCCGTTAAGATTGGTTTGAAAACAATACAAAAAAAATTAGTGCTGTAGATTTGAAAGCAATAAAAAATTAGTGCTTCAAAGCTATAGTGTGTAAATCAGATTAAAATGTAAGTTTAAAACTCAAGCATTTCTGAATCTTATTGTAGTCTTACAGCAAAAGAAAGTACAGCCACCTAATTTGCTTATCTGATATTTACATTCCATTTCTACATTCCTGTGGTTTTGCTCTGTTGTTTAGTTGTTATTATTTATCTGATTCTGTTGGTAAATGAAAAACAAACACACCGAAATAGATGAGTTTTAAAACTGCATCTAAATAGTAATAGGTAGAGGTCACAGAGCAGCCAAATACCACAGAAAGACTCGGAGCCTTTTATTTCCATGCTTCCATTTGTTAGCGAGGAGTTTCCTATACCAGGCACCTCAGGGCTTGCTCACAGTTTAGGAAGTTGGGTAGGCAGCTTTCCAAGGAAACGAGAAGAACATGGCAGGGCCTGTGATCTGCTGGAATATAAGCAAATCGAGACTACATTTTGGAGCGCAAGGCCAGAGTCTATATACCCCCTCACCTTATAATTAACTACGGCTATTGTGATAGACTCTCACCTCGGAAATGCCCTTTGTAAGGAATTTATATGTTCATCTTATTTTCAAAAAGATTGTTTTTGGCACTGGAGATGGTATAATGGTTACATCACTGGAATCCCATATAGTCGACTGTGGTTCAACTCCCAGACCTGGAAGCTTAAAACTCATGCCAGGCACGTGCATGCATGCCCAAAACCCCAAGAGGAGAATGGAGGAGAAGAGAGAGTGCCATGGCCAAACCCCCAGGGGGTGATTTCTTGCTTTCTGTCTCTCTCTCGTGAGCGCACATGCCCTTTAGCAAAAAATATCTCGTTAAGGGACCAGCAGTTAGTGTAATGGCTATGTCGTTGGACTCCCATGTAGTCGACCACAGTTCGAGTTCCGGACCCGGTGGCTTAAAACTCATGTCAGGCATGTGTGCGTGCGTGCCCAAGATCCCGAGAGAAGAATGGAGAAGAAGATATTGCCGTGTGGCCATCCCCCCTGGGGGGTGATTTCTCGCTTTCTGTCTCTCTGTCTCTCTCTGTCTATCTGGTGAGTGCACATGCCCTATAGCAAAAACCTATCCAAAAAAAATAAAATTCATTAAAAAATGGGGGGACTGTTCTTATGAATCACTAAATTCTGTAAGTATTCAAAAATTTAAAGTGTTGTCTTGGTTTAGATTTTTTTTGTATTATTTATAAGGAATATTACACAGTTAAGCAGTACACTACCTAGAATATATAACAATATCTACATGATCTTTTTAAAAGATTAGTTACTGGGGCCAGCAGATGGCATAGTGGTTATGTCACTGGACTCCGAAATGGCCAACTGCAGTTCAAGTCTTGGACCTAGTGGCTTTTAAACCATTCCAGGCAGGTGTGTGTGCATGCCCAAGATCCTGGGAGAAGAATGGAGGAGAAAGGATTGCAGTGTGGCCATCTCCTCTGGGGGATGATTTCTCGCTTTCTGTCTCTCTCTTTCGTGCCCTATATTAAAAATCTCTAAAACAAAAACAAAACAAACAAAAAAACCAGGGCCCAGCAGGGTGGTGTGGTGGTTGAGGCACTGGACTCCCATGTGACTGACTGCAGTTCAAATCCTGGACCTGGCAGCTTGCTTTCTGGCTTTCCCTCCCTCTCTGCTTCTCTCTGGTTAAATTAAAAGATGGTGATGATAAATTAAATTAAATAATTCTTTTAAAAGTATATACTTATAAAAAGATTAGTTACCAAAAGAATTTGAAAGCCTAAATAATTATTACAGCTATTGAGCAATTATTATTGTCAGTACTTTTATACATGATTCATTCATTCATTAAATATTTACCTATGTCTACCTATTGTGGGCCCTGGCAAACAGCACTGAACAAAACCAAGCCCCTGCTTTCATGGAGTCTATATTCCAGTAGGGAAATAAATCCGTAAAACATAAAGCATGTGAACACAGATAAGTGCTATGGAGAAAAAATTAAGCAGGAAAGAGACACAATGAATGGCTATATGAGAGAGAAGAGGTTAGAGGAAAGGAAAAAGAGAGAAAACGTTTTGTTTAAATGATAAGGTTATACATAAGCAGAGCGCCAAAAGAAGTGAGCAAGTCCAGAAGCAGATCTCTGGGGGATTTGGAACATTTCTTATGTATTACTCATCATTTAACCCTCCCAACAGCTCTACGAGGTAGATGCTTTTATTGCTCCCATTTTACAGATAAGACAATTGACGTAAAACCATAAATAAACTTCCTGAAGGCTACTTTACTTATAATGGGTAAGTTGAGGTTTGAACCCAGATCTTCCTAACTCACAAGGTGTGCTTTTAACCACTTTTCTCCTATCAAATCCCAACTATTCAATAACAAGATTGATGCATGCTTGATTATTGGTACATACTTAAGAGGATAATTACAACATGAAAAAATTAATTCAAGAGGCAAAAAGTAAATGAAGTTTGACTCACTAAAATAAATAAATGAGGAACCTGCCCAATGGCCTAGTTGTTAAGGGATCCCACATGACCCACCAGGGTTAGAGTCTCAGTGAGTGGGTGTGTGCCCAAAATCCCAACAGGAAGGAGAAATGGAGGAGACAAGATTGTGGCATGACTATGCCCCATTGGAGGTGGGCGCTTTCTCCACTTCTCTCTGTCTCCTTCTTTTTCTCTCTGGCTAGTTCACATGCCATCTGACAATAAAAAGTAAGTAAATAAGTAAGAAAATCGCTTCTCCATTCTCCTGGCAAGGGGTTTAAATGAAGGCAGAGCTGACCTTGTAAATAATGGCTCTCCAGGCACAAAAAATAAGGATACTTCAGCTGAGCCTGTAGAGGCAGCAAACTCCTTCAAAACAGACTCCAGTCTGCAGAAGAAACTGAAAAGAGAGAGAGGCAGAGGAAGAAGACAGAAGAGAGGAATGGAGTTTACTGTTGGAAGTCTCATCGCTTCACCTTCAGGTCACCCTCTCTTTACAATTAAGTTTCAGCGTCAGGGCTGGATGTTCACATCTGGCTATCTAATTGAACTTTGCCGAAGGTGTAATTTACCTAGGTCCTGCAGGGTGGGAGGAACTGCTCCCACATAAGGACATTCCACATGGCCTTAGCTCAGCGGCCTTTGAGAAAGGGTAGGGAATTACCAACAGTCGGTTGTCCAGGTTTTCAGTCCCTTGACTTCCTTCTCACTCCCTGGACAGACATGCAGAAAGGGAGGCATATACCTGTGTGTTAAATGTCTGTGTAAGGGAAGAAGGATGTGGGTAGGAAAATGGGAAAGAAGGCAGCTGTGTTCCCCAGCCACATTAGAGCTGAATAAAGTGGAGTTCTGCACCAATTGTGTGATTTGAGGGAAAGGGAACACACAAACCCAAGCAATCAAAGCAAAGATTCACTTACTTAATACCAGGGATAGGTGTTCTTCTTTCTGCCTCACAAGTCCAAAGACGAAAATCAGGACAAGTGGCTTGGGTCGTAAACTTTAAGGTCAAAGACCCTTTCTGTTGAGGTTAGTTCTCAAGTTCTCAGTAGTCAACTGTGTGTGAAACATAATTAATAGTGTGATAAATACAAGTTGTGGAAGATAGGATTGAAAGTCAGAGGGTTCCCCTACAAAGAGCTTGTCATAAAGAGGACTTAATCAACATGAGCAGGGCTAATAAAAAGCATCACCTATTAAACGTTGGCTCTTTCCTAGTGCTGCTCACTGGCGTTTCTCTGTGTGGGCGCATTGGTAAGAGAGGAGTGGGTGAGCAAGAGTGTACTGGGTACAATTTGTGTGTCTGCAAAAGAAAACAGAAGCTCTCAATGAGGAAGAGCATATGTTTCTGGGACTGCATCTGTGCAAAAGTACATAGTCCTGCAGTTGTATTAGGAAAAAGAAAACTCTTTTAGAAAGTCTCTCATTTTGGCGCCTGCAGGTGGCCTGGTGGTTTAAGGGCGCTGGACTTTCACGTGGTTCAAGTCCCGGACCTCACGGCTTGCTTTCTCACTTTCTCTCTCACTCTTGCTCTCGTTCTGTCGCTCTCTGGTCAAAATTAAATAAATAAATAAATAATGTTAAATAAAATATTTTTTTAAAAAGAAAGTCTTTTATTTTACACAAGTCATCTTCTTGACACATTTCCCTCATTCTGTCTTTTCTTTTTCACCCTTAGGTCCAGGAAACCTACGAAACGTTTCGAACAGTCCGACAGAGCCTGATTAACCAGATATTCTACTCACTCGGGAATCCCAGAGGCAAACCTCAGGCCAAGAACAGAAAAGTGACTCTCCCAGGCGCACCTGCCTGGAGGACCGCCCTGCCCGCAATCCAACGGAACTCGCATCCTTTCCGAGGGCTGGGCGGAGGCCGGCAAGGCCACCAGGGCAGGGCGCGGCCTGGGAGGCAGGATCCCAGGTAAGTCGACAGTGTCGGACCGGGGCGGACCGCGCCCCCTCCGCACTCCACCCTGGGCGGGTCCATCCAGCCAGGTGTCCTCGCGGGGCCAGCCTGGCCTCTCCTCGGCCCGAGTGCGCGTGCCTGGGCGGAG